GTTGCACGTGCGACTGAATGGCGTTCGGCGCAGTACCTAATGAGCTTCTGTGATTTAATGATCCGTTGACTCGCTGCTATTTTTTTCTAAACTGTGTTTGTATTATTATTATTATAGCTTTAAATCTTTTTTATATTATTTTTTATGATACCAAGTGAAAGGACGATCAAGTCGTGGGTCTGGTGTCAAGCGACACGCAAGTTACAGTGCCACTCAGAGGTTTGAATCGCAAAGATCTGAGGAACACTGCTACTGCGCCTGTCATCCTGAGACGTAAGTTGACAAGTCCCATGTGCCTGTAATTTCACCAGGGCCCTTATGCTCTGGCCTCACCTAGTATTTATGTGGTCTGTGGGCCACAAAGAGGCAACCGCGGAAGCGTCCCTGGCGCGGGAATTTTGTCGTCGCGTCGCATCGGCCGCGCGTTTCTGTGTGGCAGGGTTCATATAAACTCGTACATTACTAAAATTGTGTGGCCTGAGCATTATATATTTCAAATCGAAACATAGTAATGCGCACATTACCGATCGACGCCAGAAATAGATAAAGGTGGCTTTACTTTACTGGACGAACTCTTTCACATGGAACTTTACTGTGACTCATACTGCGTATATTATTTAAACATTTTTGGATACACTTAACTCAAACAAGGTAAGTAGAGTCCATAGATATGGGTAGAGTCTGTATTCGTATGGATTCAGTTTTTAAAGAAAACGTCCTTAAATCTGCACTTTGTTTTCATTTCGAGCAAAGATTGCGAGTTTGGGTGCGGACGAAGTGCTACAGTAGATAAAGTTTGCCCTGTCGATGGTGGCCGGAGATTAACTACAGCGAGGACTCACGTCGACTTCATCAATTATCCTGCCATCGTACCAACGCTGCTGCCCTGTCAGCTACGTAAGCTCTTAGTCGTTGGTTAGGTCCCTAGACACGCCTCTGTACACATCCCCAGGCTGCCCTTTTGCACTTTAAGGGCCGTGGAAGATATAAGATCAAATAATAATAAAGTCATACCGCATACTCATAACAGTATCTTTATTAATTTGTTGTTTAGATCTCAACTTATTATAATAACAAATAAATAATTCACGATTAAATATTTGAAATAATATGAAAAACCTATGGAAATTATACAACTGTAAAAGGTTTGCCTTAGCTATATAAATTTGATAATTTTGAGTTGGTGAGACATTCAGAAAATTCAGTGTTCACATGGAAAAAAAAACCTATACATACTTTGGTCCGATTCCATAGCTTTATTATTGAGCTTACTGTTGGTAGGTCAATGGAGCTTACACATTGTTTGCCAAAAACAAAAAACAATAGAATTTTATTTTAGAACTTATTATTAGTCCTTATACTTACATAGTTACTGGAAAATAATTTTCATTGCAGTTCACATAGTAGAGTGAATCATTTAACCTATGGTAATGCGTTAACGTCTAACTATAACGTTGTTCATCTTATTTAAGTATATTCACGAGTACGTGCGATGTAATTCGCAGTCGCGACACAGTGGCGTCTCCGCATCTGGTCTTCGCTACTCGTCGCCATGTCGTCGGTCGCCTGAACTATGCCATTTCAACAAGAATTGAATCAAACTACGGTCTCGATTAACGAACTAGTTTTAGAGTAAAACTTTGTCGGAATAATTTCATCGTCTAATCACATCTACGAGTGTACTCGGGACACCAGTTATTGGTGAGCGCTGGCAGTATATATGTAACGTAACCTGCTGTGATACTATCGTATGGAATTACGATAAACACACATACGATAAACAAAACATAAATAACAGATACATTTACGTACAGGTCTATTTACAATGCAAGTTCTGATAGTGACTCTGACTCAGACTTTTACTCAAGAAAGATCTACAAATATATACATTTAAACTGCAACAATGTTATTTATAGTTTAGTTACATGTTAAAATGTTGGGCAGATTTATAAGAACTAGTGGAATTCTTATCGACATAAATGCTTTTATCGAAGAACAATGAAGTTATATTAAATAGAAGTTATAATGGAAGTTATATTTTCCTATTAGGAAAATAAAGTATTATATATATGATGTTATTATCTATTACACGAACATAGAATGCAGTGCAGGCGATCGGCCACCATTGTTTATCGTTTCACAGCTAAGCCGGATTGTTTTAGGCCTGCTGAAACAAATAATTTATTCATTTCATAGCTTAACAAATTTCATATGAAATGGTCAAATTTACAGTCTAAAGATTAGCACTGATCTTCGGCAATACTATACAAAAAAACGGAATTTGCTAGACATTTTTTCAACAATTCCTAACCTGAAAAAAATCCCGCCCTGTATCGTGCTCGGCACAAAAGTTCTCATTATACTAGCCTACATTATACTAGGCTACATTGGTTCGCTGGACGGCAATGCACACATGCTGAACCCACCACAAACCAAATTAAATTCATAACATGTAAGCTGGATGCATCGATACTTACTTTGTATTATATTTAGTACTTTATAACAAAAGTTTCAATTAGTGCAGAAGTAACAATATAATTAATAAGGATATTCAACAAAGCGCGGCGTTAAGAAAATAATATCATGGCATTGGAGATATTGTAATTGAAGTGGCAAAGGTGTGGATGTCGGGTGAAATGGAAGACGGTGAAGTGCGCGACCTTTCTCCTTAAATGGATACCGAAACCGGCTTTTACGCGAAAAATCTTTCGGGAAATAAATGAATCCATACCGTATGTAAATCGAATGCCGTGGAAAGTTTTTATTGAAAAACTTGAAGAACTGATGAAAATGGGGCCGCAACGTTAAAGATCTCTCCATCCTTCTTATGAATGTTATTCCGAGTTGAAAAAGTAGCCTTTGCGTGGCTGACTTTCATATTTTTACTGACTTGAAATTATATATTATTAAATTGGAGGTAATTAAAAAAAATGTAGAAAATGAAACGAGTTTTATAGGTTCTAAATCGCGTATATATATTTTTTTTCAAACAAACCAACGTTTCAGGCCTATTTCAGAAACCGTGGTCACGGCTGACATCGGATGAATTGTTTGAAAGTTTTACGCGATTTACATCCGAAAACACTAGTTTCATTTCCCATGTGTAACAATCGCGAGAACCTAAAAATTGGATCCCACTAATTATTGCCAATAAAACAGTTATATTAAAATCATTTCATATATAAATATGAAATATTTTTTCACAACAAATGAATTTTTGTTAGTATTTGTGACAAAACAGAAACAGATATAAATTTAAATATTGCGACAGTTTAACATTGATAAAATCAAACTTTTATAAATAAAAAACTACTCATCTTAAAATTATTAATACAAAGATCGAACACTCAGAAAAAACACTCAGAAAAAATTCCTTCGATCCGGTCGGATTCGAACCGACGTCTTCTTGCATACCGTGCCAGACGCTATACCAACTTTTAGTTTTTAGGAAGTTTAGTTTAGGAAGTTTAGTGTTAGGTAGGAATTTTTTCTGAGTGTTTTTTCTGTGTGTTCGATCTTTGTATTAATAATTATAACAAACTAGTGAAGTAATTTCACAAAAAATAATTGAATATCAATTCAATAAAAAGTTAATTAATACTCAACTTAAGTTTATGTAATTTACAAGAACACAAAATCAACCTCGAATTACTCGACAAACCAGTATTTGTAGGAAATTAAAACTAATGATTGAAAAAAATGACAATCGACTATTTTTTTATTTTCAAATTAGACCACAATTAGATAAAAAAGTAAATTACCGACCGGACTTCTGAAAAAATACTGCATTATTTTTGAGATTTTACGCGCTAAATGTGTGTGGTGATTCTACGGAGTCAACTATTCATTAATTAGCAGCTATCAATTTTATAGATATTGACAAACGTCATTTCAATAATCAGTCAGTTGTTTAATCAAAAGCAAATAAAGGAGCCAATTAGAAACATCTAGTAAGTAAATGAATAAAATTATCAATTTACGCCGAAGGGATTGTCGTAACTGAGTTAGGTGAGATTAGAGGGGCGAGAGTGGCACTCGCGGATTACAGAGGGCAGGAGTCCTCCAGCTAAGAGGTTGAGTAATTGATAAAGCCAACTCGACTGTCCTCAGTCGCGGTTAGTGCCAGTTCGACTTCGCGAGTACCAAAGTATTTATTCCGCAAACTTATTAGACTGATCGTATTTACTTGCATTTACGTGTAATTTTTAGCACGTTGTTATAAATTGGCTGACTTACTGAGAAGAAAGGAATACTCGTATCTTCGTCTAAAAAACGTTGACAGATGTTTTTGGGGTTAACAAACTCTAAATCCCTTTTATGTGTGATTATCGTGTCAGATAGGTGTAGTGTAGTGTTAATAATTGCATCGTGTTTTATGAAATTTTTATATATATATATATATTGACTATCCTTAAGGCGTTTCCATAAAAGCCAATATAGACATAAATCACGATCATTAGCTAGTATTCTGCTCCACATATTTATCTAAATTAGCTCGCTGATGGCAAAACTATAAATAAATTAGGAACTCGTTAAACGGCACGATGACTAGTTTAGAATTTGGTATTTAGTTTATGAGCATACGCCTACCGTGACTAATACATACTAGACTACTTATTATAAAACATACACAAAGAAATATAAACTGCTAACTTCCTCTTGCGTGCTTACAAACATAAAAGTTTTTCGTGCGTATCCTAACGAAAACATAAATTAGGTAAATTTAGTATGTTTTATAGAGAGCATCCCCTTCGTTACAATATGTCCGGAACGCGAGGGTCACTGCGTCGACCTCCCCCCACGCAACTTCCTAACGGCTCGAATCGGCGCAATAATCTTAACTTTTTAAACTTACAACTTTTCTTCGTATGAGTGTAGTGAGCGAGCTTCTTCATTCGGTTGGAGATTTGTAGATCGTGCTTTCATGTACGTTTCGTCCTTGTCTAGCGAGTAGGGAGCGAGGCAGAGAGCATAAGCCTATGGGTAGAGTCAGTGTGCCGGCATCAAGCGGCCCGTCAGTATCTACGAGGCTCAGTCAGTTCTCGTTGCTGCGATGCCGAAAGCGCACGCTATGCCGGTCGCCCGCCGTCGACTTTACGATCGACGATCGCGACGATTCTTTCCGAACTAATAAATCTGGCGAGCCGAAAACAAACCCCCACGAACAGATTAAAACTCGATATGAGATAACAAGCTCGCGTTTCGGTTCGTGATTAATCGCTAAAAGTCTACACAGCTTGCATGATTCCAGCGGAACAGTAATCTCCGAGTTTCGTATTAGGTGTGGATAATGTAAACAGATAAACATTGTTGAAGTTTTTGGGAATTGTTTATTGACATGGGCATAACAATACTTGCATTGTCAGACGATAATGTTAAGGTTGGTGATGTAGTTTGAAAAGAACTAGCAATAGAGATTAAGGAGAGACGGCAGGTGGTGGGTGGATGCACTGGAAGCAATAGGGCGGTGCTGGAGAGAACAGGAGCAGCAAGATGGGCATCCGGCGCTCGATGCTGGTATTGTGGAGCGTGGTGGCGGCGGCCTTGTCCGACTCCTGGACGGCATACCAGGAGCAGCCGTGCTGCAGGCCCGTCACGCATCATCGCATCAGGCACCACAGAGGTGAGTCACCGCACGCTTTGTCTTGTCGATGTCTAAACCAAAATGAACTCTTGCCCTTTACGTTAGCCAATTATTATTCTATATTAAAAACGTTGACAGCTCAACAAGGTGACATGAACGGAACAGGTTAACGACTTTTATATTTACTATCTGATAAAGATAACAAAGTCTACGACTATTCATAATAAGGTTTATCGTAATAACTATGATATAGTTCATTACCCAATCGGCTTTTTCGGAGGAAATTAGAGACAAAATGAATTACTTTTCTACAAAACTGTACCAAAAATTCATAAGTATAACAGAAATGACTCACCCTTGTGAGATATATTTAGGCCTGCGATATATTTTTAGTATGATAAGGGTATTTAAGATTTTCTGTGGAACTAAAATTTCAAACATGTACTTGTAAGTGAAACAGAGGTATCTAAGATACATAGCCACGAAAAATACAAATACTATATAAATCACCATATGTTTTACCTGCGAATTTTAGCGCTATATCAAAGATATTTCTAAAATTCTTAATAAATACTGGTATTGGTTTGTACTTAAATTTGTTAAACAAAATAAAAACTAAAAGATTTCTATAAATCTCATTAAAATTTATAATTTAGCCATACATAACCGTATTGTAGTTAAATCTATTGTGTACATAAAAAGAAAGTCTCATTTTGGTGAAAATCGCTTCATTGGTTGGTTGGAGTTGTGTGACGTGTCTCATCTAGCTCCGATAAAACTATCACCAAATAATAAATATAACTCAAAGTTGTCAATAATGACATCCCATAAGGTATGCTTGTTATTTTAAACGTTCCAATTTGAAGTTCAAATGGGGAGAAAAGTAGGTACATAAAATTATAATGAAATCTGACGGAGGAAAAAATCTGTGAATAAATTGGTTGGACCGATGAAGCTACATCCAATTACTTGCCGATCTTTGCCCCAGAAGAAATATCTATAACAACGGCCTACCGTAATTATTTTTTTTTAAATTTGTTAGACATTTAACTATTTTTTTATGATACTAAATGACGGGACGAACAAATTGTGCGCCTAATGGTAAGCGATACGCTTGTCCATAGCAGTTGCCGTGCCACTCAGAGCTTTTAATCGCAACGATGTAAGGGGATCTGCCACTTTGCCCGTTACCCTGAGACATGAATCGACAAGTCCCATGTGCCGGTAATTTCACCAGCGCCCTTACCCTTTAAAACCGGAACGCTGTAATGCTCACTTTACTGCTTGGTGGCAGTAATGGGTAAGATGGTAGCACTTTCCTGGACAAAGTGCTCTACAGCTACGAAAATGATTTACTTTCAACAAACTGTATCCATTTTTTGTAAACTTTCTCCACATGTTCGTATTATACTTTGTAATGGTGAATAGATTACAATTAGAGAAGTTGAGACACTCAGGCCAAAGTGTTTAGATTTAAGAGTGTAAAGTAAAATTTATGGTCCATGCTTTCGTAAGTACTAAATAAATATAACTAAATCTCTAGCTTATCTTCATTAACTACTTTACCAACATTTCCAAACGTAACTGATATTCTTCAACGTGGACAAATAACTTTGGAAAGTTTTGTTTAGTGTCAATACAGCAGTAGTGCAAAGTTTTATCTGTATATCGTCGGGCGCTTGGACACTAGCGAGATTAAGAGAAACTTGATTTACTACCACCAATTTAACGTATTGTTATTGAATTTAGTATATTTGTACTTGCTAGTTGGTATTCTTAATTCGTAGTACTATTTCATGAAACATTCAGTAATGCTTAGTCGCGAGTAAATAGTGCGAATTATTTCTTAATTCTTCTCCTCGTTCAGTTCAAAAATTGAATTTGATTGGTTATATTTAACAATTTAAAGTTAAATTCAACCTTGATAAGTTTTCAAAATTCTAAACAAATTTTGTAATTTTTAACAGGGCATTGTTTGGTATAGCAACGAGATAGGTGCCAACATGTGTCTTTAACAAGAATACTAAAAATAATCTCTAGTACTCAAATACTTTTAACACCGTTTCAGTAGCGTACTTTTAGACAGTCATTTTTCAATTTGGTAGCGGTAGAACTCATTGTGAAGGATTTTGTCCGGGGAAGTATTGCCACGTTTCCTATTTCTGCCGTGAAGCAATAATGTGAGCATAATTGAGCTCCAGTTTTAAAGTGTAAAGGTGCTGGTAAATTTACAGGCACATCATGACTTGTGAACTTTGTGTCTCAGGGTAACGGACGTAATGACAGTGTCACACAGATCTTGGCGATTATAGCTCTGCTGAATGGCACTGCAACTGTGAAATTAACTACAATGAACTGTAAAAGATATTTTAAAAAGATAAAAATAAAAAAATATTTAAAAATTGTTTACTAAAAATAAAAATGATGTTTAAATTTCTTTAAATTAACTTAATGCGTACAACAAATACGTAATGATCCATTGGTTCAATATCATTTTTAGAGACATTTGGTATATTCTTAATGTAGTTTCTCATAAAAGACAATATTTCTGAAATAATATAATATAAGAATAAAACATGTGGTCTGTGAATAAAACCAAGTTATTGTACTAAGATTGAAAACGCTAATGCTCTATTTATACACTCGACTGTCGGTGCTGAGGACATTTATATGCCGAGTTAAATATTTAATTTTAGACAGTAAAATAAACTTCGCGGAAGAGCTGCAATCTTCTATGAACTATATGTAGGCTCAGTAAAGATGCTTTTACTGACAAATGATAAAACTAATACCGTATAATGTTAAGAAACCTACTAAAGATAACAGGGCGACGGTTTTATGCCTAACTGTACTATTCAAAATAGATATTGTTTGAAAAATTGTCTATTTGATGTTCAGGACTGAACGACACAATGAATTGATGTTTTTAACGGTTTTAACACTGTATATTCTGTACTTTGATTACAAGGAATTAATTTTAAATATATATCAAAAATAACTGTCGCACTGGGTCCGTAGCCATAGCAAGTAATGTCACATTTTTTTCTTCTCACTGACGTTTCTACACCGCATTCCCGCGCAGCCCCCTCAGTCGCCCAGTGGTGTTACCGGCGCGAACAGATATCCCAATATTATATATCACATTACACAACATGTTTAGGCTTTTGTGATTCTTTTCAAAGTAGGCCTTGACCGTAAATATACACACACCGGCACATAGCGGAACACTGTAACACCCGAATATAATAGTGTTTTTTCAAAAGCGTGTTCGGCTTTTTAAATTTTTTTTCTGTTATTTGTTTTAATTTCCTACTAATACAGATTTATTGACTAATTTTGCGTTCGGTTTTTTATTTTCGTTAAACTTTAGTTAAGTTTTTTATTTAATAATGTCTGATGTTAAACAGTAACAATTTTTTAATTTTCAGTATTTTCTACTTTGTGACCAATTGTAAAATATACGTTTTGTTTAATTTCGATTTTTTTTGTGCAGCTGTACTAAATCGATGTCAAAAGATGTTAATTTTAGTGATACTTTGAATCTAATTCTTATTTAATTAAATATACAACCATTTTATATTCCTACTTTTTTTTTGTTCAGCTAACTGTGCCAGTATTATAAATTTGTAAACACGAAACCTTAGCAGCAGAGCTGCTTGTGAAAGAGTTCGTCCAGGGAAGTACTGCCACCTTACCTATTTCTGCCGCCAAGCAGTAATGTCAGCATTAGTGCGTTGCGGCTTTGAAGGGTAAGGGTGCTGGTTAAATTACAGGCACATGGGACTTGTTAACTTACGTCTCAGGGTGACGGGCGTAGTGGCAGTGCCCCTCAGATCTTTGCGATTTAAAACTCTGAGTGGTACTGCAACGTATGGACAGGCGTGTATCTTAATATCAGGCGCACCACTTGTTCGTCCCATCATTAAATGTTATAAAAAAAAGCCTTTTCGTAAAAATTATGTTGTATAAATATAGGAGTAAATATTATAATTATTAACTGTAATATTTCCGTATGTTTTGTCATAAATGGGTAACTTGTATTGGACAGTGAATCTAACTTTACGTAAACTAACTCTAAACCCTTTCTCAAGAGAGGATCGTGCCCAATTGGAGATGCCAATTGGATAAGTTGAGTGACTCTGACAGTTGACCTACTGTAGGTCTACTACATTTCACAATAACGCGGCAATATAGCCTTGTAAAGGGGCGGCTCTGCGTCATTAGCAAGTAACAAGCATTCCACAGTGACGCGCTGAGAAAAAACGCACCTATTAAAATTCTTGCGTCGTATCACATCGCCATTCCAAAGATAGAATCATTGCACTTTGAGCTTTCGTTTTGCCTTTTGATAATAATGGATTACTAATTAACTATTTGATTTTATTTGTAAATTAGTTCCCGTACGGAATTCATATATCTACCAACCCGAAAATTTCATAGCAAGGTTTTTTTATTATACTAAGTAACGGGACGAACAAATCATGCGTCTGGTGGTAAACGACACGCCTGTCCATAATAGTCGCAGTGCCATTTAGAGATTAAATCGTAACAGTCTTACTACAAAAGATTTAATAATCACCGTTTTAACATGCGTTTACTTAGTCAGTGACTAAGTCTTTAAACATTGTTTAAAACAGTGTTTAACGTGTCGTACCACAAAACCATGTTTAACGCCAGTCTTTGTAGACAAAGTATAAACACAGAAATAATATTCATCTATGGCAGCACTAGAATTCATTCATTCAGTCATTCGCCGTTTGTCCCCATCTTTTCTATTTTACGCAGATCCAACAGTGGTTTATTAACCCTTTCAGACCTGGCGTACACAAATGTACACATAAGATATAAAAATTTTTTTTGGTATTTATTTCGCAACAATTGCAATTGAGAACTGTTGTATCCATACGTCCACATTATAAACTACAAAAAATGACACTACTGACGCCATCTCTTAGCATTTTTTGTGACTTTTTCGACAAGTTTCGACCAGTGGCTGACCGAAGTTGGAGCTTTGTAGGTAAGCTCATCATTTTTATTTC